ACAAGCTCATTCTAGGGACCCACACTTCCGATGATTTCCCCAATTATCTCATGGTCGCTAACGTCCATCTTCCCCGTAATCCTGCTTCAGGACTCGAACACAATCTCAGTAACCCTCAAATCCCTAAGGTATGTTAGTGATTAAATTACATTGATAGTGTAAAAAATACTTACATTAAGTTATTCTAGTTTAAATATTGATATCTCCTACAAAATTCCACCTAAGATTAAATATTCCGAGCCTGTGTATTAGCTAAAAATATATCCTTAAGATGCGTGTAAATGCGTCTTTGTAATGCTTATATATACTGATAAGAACTGTTTGGTGAAATGTCTAAATGAATGAGCTTTGTTTGACTGAACGAGCTTATGCGTAGGAGGAGAGGCGGATACTAGATTTGAATATTATGGGTTCGAGTTTAGGGTTCTATCACTACCCATTTGACTTACTGGATTCTAAATCTATTATTTGTACTTATTTAGGGATCTCTAGCACATATATAGAGTCCGAGTTACCCATAAGTCCCTTAACTGCATCCGCCCCACTGTAGGAGCCTATTAGTGTTTTATTGCAGGAAGTTTTAGTTGCAATATCTTTGTAATCTTAACACATGTAAACAAGTGGTTAAATCTTTTTCTTAATGCTTACAGGTAGAGATAGTACAAAAGATACATGTTGATGGAGAAGTGAATAGGGGTAGATGTATGCCACAAAAGCCAGCTGTAGTTGCGGCAAAGACCAGTAGCGCTGAAGTTTATGTCTTTGACAGTGGTAAACAGCCACTCGATCATGAAAGGGGATCTTGCGATCCTGATGTTAGACTTAGAGGGCATGATAAAGAAGGTTATGGCTTATCGTGGAGCCCATTTAAAGAGGGTTATCTTTTGAGTGGTTCGGATGATCGAAAGATTTGTTTGTGGGATGTTTCTGCAATGCCTCAACATAAAGTGCTTCTGGCCCATCATACATATGAGGTAGATTGATCTATGTTTTTCACCCCATTACTTTTGCTTATGTGCTGATTCAACTGTGTTACTTTTGTTAATTATGGAGGTGAAGTACTTGCTGTGGCAGATGAGATTTTAATTCTGTTATTTTGTGTATAGGAACATGCAGATGTAGTTGATGATGTGTCGTGGCATCCAAAGAATGAGAACCTATATGGTTCTGTTGGAGATGATTGTCGTCTGATCATTTGGGACTTGAGGACAAACAAATCTCAACACTCTGTTGTAGTGCACGAGAAAGAGGCAAGTGTCTTCTCTTTACTTTTTAGTTTCTATCTGCTAAATGTTGTACTTAACACTGTTTGATCTGTATTATTGACATTGATCTTGACTATGTTATTCTAATTGCTTGTTTCCCTATTATTATTCTTGCAACTATACTTTCCCACCAAATATATAACAGGGAAGGTTCTCCTTTAACGAGTCTTCAACCATGTGAATGAGGGTTGACTGTGACTTTTCTGGAGTGACATTGTTTAGAGGACATTATTAGTATCAAATATATAATTGGCTGTGGAATACTTATCTCTTTAATCTATGAAAGCTTAATTCTGAATTTGGCTAATCTAAAATCAACCCCTACTTCCGAAAGTACTCATATTCTGATTCAATATTCATCATTCAAGGCTGCACAATACAAATTGCTGGCCTCCTTTTATATTGGGCTTTTAAGTGCAGACCAAGACAGGTTGAAATATCAACATATCTCATGTTTGGTTATCTGTCATGCTTAAATGTACCTCAAGTACTCATTATAGCAAGGCTTCCAACATGATGTTATGAAGAAACAGAAGAAACCATAATAGGAACAAAAAGTGGATGTGGTCCATGACTCATGTTCTCTGAAACATCTCTCATTGCCGTACAGAAGACACACTCTGAACTAGATTCGTGTACGATGTTACGAAACTAGTCAAGGAGTCTTCTAGGGCATGTGAACAGTATCTGTTAAATTAAGAAAGCTTCATTTGGAACAATTGAACAGGGCAATTCAGATGTTTTGGGTAAATGGAACTTATGGCACCTTTAACTATGGTAATTCTTAAGACATGTTAGTGATTCTATTGTATCTGTTCAAGAGTTGTTAAACTGGTCACCTGATTCACATCCATTAATTAATTGCGAGATCAGAAAGTGAATAACATGTTCACTGTCTGAACAATCTTTTCTCAACATTTTTCCCGGTTATGTAGTCTTGCTGATCTTGTTTTTTCTTCCACTTTTCAGGTGAATTATTTATCCTTCAACTCGTATAATGAGTGGGTTCTTGCTACAGCATCATCAGATAGTACTGTCGGTCTGTTCGACATGCGAAAGCTGAGCACTCCATTGCACGTGTTTGGTAGTCACACGTATGTTCTTCAGCTTTACATATGAGTTTTCAAATATAGCGCAGTCAAACTGTGAAGTCACTCCCTTGTCTTTATGGCATAGAAACTATGCAAAGCACAGTTCTATGATGCTTGTCTCTGCTGCTGATTGACTTATTGATGTTTGGATCGACTAACAAGCAAAATAAGCTCCTTTTGAAACAAAAGCAATGAAAGCTACGACGTATTCATTAAAGTTACTTGAAAATTGAAATGGTGCTGACTTTATGCCCTTGCTGAGTAATTTTTCCCTTGTACATGGAAAATGGTCAAATCTTTTGTTGCTTTTGACCCCTGCTGATGCTCTTCCTCAGCTAATTCCTCCTTTCTTACATGCTACAGCATTGAGAAAAGTTTATTTGATGACATTGTAATAGGATACCTCTATGTTAGTTCATTATAATAATTTTCCAGACTGTGTAACTGTTTTGTCAACAATAGCTGGAGACTCTTGATTGTCAGGCGTTGGACTTACCCAGCAGTTATTCGGACTCTTCTCTTAATTCTCATGCATTCTAAATTGAATGACTGCACTACCTTTTGTTTCTGCAAATGCTAAAGCTTTTCTCACTAAACCATAATGATTTTTTGCAGGGATGAGGTATTTCAGGTAGAATGGGATCCTAATCATGAGACCGTACTGGCATCTTCAGCTGGTGATAGAAGGTTGATGGTCTGGGATCTTAACAGGTACCTCATGCATGAAATGAATCCCACAACACATAACGAGAATAACCCAAGAATACTCAACTGCACCTTATTATAAACTGTCTTTGTTTACTCACCTATCTTTCTACTCGAATAATGATTGATTTGATTTGGTTTTATGTCTTCAGGATTGGTGACGAGCAATTGGAAGGGGAAGCTGAAGATGGGCCCTCTGAACTTCTCTTCTCTCATGGTGGTCACAAAGCAAAGATTTCTGACTTTTCATGGAACAAGAACGAGCCATGGGTCATTACAAGTGTTGCAGAAGACAATACTATCCAAGTGTGGCAGATGGCTGAGAGCATCTACCATGATGACGATGACAATGGCGACTGCTGAGTTCTCCCGACTCTGGATGTTTAACTTTTGTGGCATTTTCTCCTCCGTTAGTATGTGGCCATTGTTATGAACTAGAAGAGCGCCACCGATATTTACTTGTGCTTGGCATTGCCTATTAAGTTAATTAGTTGCAGATTTATGAACAGTATGTGGCATTGCATGTTAATTAGGGAAAGAAAATGCCTGGCCCCGATTCCAGACACTGGTCTTGATTCAGAGTTTACACTGCGTCTTTGTGGTTCTTTTTATTTTTTAGGAATGTTGAGTGACATCAACCTAGAAGGTAATCTGATATCTCCGCCAAAGATGGAAAAATTAAGGAGAACGGAAGAATACAGAGAAAAGGAAAAAAGGTGGCAAAATGTAGATCAGTTGTAGACTCGCGCAAGAAAAATATCTGTCGTTTGGGAAGAAAGTGTTTTACTGAAGTTCCTTTGTTATACCAAAGATCAAATGAACATAAACAAAACCTAATATCATGAATGTCCTCTTCTTATCTCCTTATCTTCGAATTTCAATGTCCCATAAAATCTATGAAGCTTTTTGTGGCCACTAAAGTTGTCAATTGTAACTCACCAAGACCAAAACATAGACGACAAACTCTATTAATATAGAAGAAAACAAATAAGTCTACTAAACAACGTAATAAGAGATGGGTTTCAAACAATATTTAACCTATGCAGAGTCTCGTCGATAATAATACTAGTACTAGTTCTATATACAGGAAATGCTCAAAATTCGATCCCCTCTCATTCCTGTTCCATGAGAAATCCATATATATTCCCTTTGTATTGAACACTCTCTTTTCCTCTATTGGGAATGAGAAGTAACAACACTCCCACCAACTTCTATTTTGCAAAATGTAATATTCAGATGCCATGTCCACCATTTGAATTTTGATACAACACTTGAACAAGGTAAAGTTAAAGTCACCAAACTTAAATCTCAATACTTCGCCCAGCTTTCCAGGGGAAATTAAAATATTAAGCTTCACCGTACACAGTAATTGTATTACTAACTCCAAACGCCACAATATTAATGTACTTCAATAGAAATGAGCCAATGTCAGGTCATCAGCGAAAGCTACCCATTTGCCTGCTGGCTGCTCCAAATATGGTCTAACGAAACTATTACTATTACTACGCCTAGACAACAATGGCTCAATCCCAAGCTAAGTCTACATGATGGATCTAACGGAGCAAAAAATAATTAAACACACAACCAATGGTTAGCTATAGCACCGCACCACACTTGAAAACCTCAATTCTTATAGCGTATAATGTGAAGTTGAAACATCAATTTCAAATTTTGTTCTTAACCTACCAACCACTCCACGAACCGACTTTGATTTTTGACACCTAATAACCCAAACACACATAATTTGTAATACTACATATTTCATCACTCATGGTTTCTACTTCACGAGATCTTTTGAAACTACTGAACACACCATGTGGTCCCGGAAGTAAAACAAAGAGAAGTAGAGAACGGGAACTGAGGAACCAACCAAATGCACTTCAATAATTTGTCAAGAGTGTTTGAACTTTGACTCACTTAAAAGTAGAACCACGAGCAATAAACAAAGCCACCATCTATTCCAAATTTAGTGCTTTCAAATTCACATAATATAGGAACAGACAACTTATCAATTCAAAGATCCATAAGCAATAGGTGAAGATATTCATCAAAAAGAATGAACAAATACAACACTGAGGAATAAAAAGCTTCCAGATCTTCACAGAAAACCAAAACTCTTGGTATCCTCTTCATGAGTTCTGCTAGCTATATTCCTTCAATTTGTTCTGCTTTACATGACTCTTGATAAATAAGTACTAGGCCACCAACTCAACAGCCCGAAGGAGATTATAATTGAACTCAACAAAGTAGATAAGCTGGGAAGAAATCCCAAGAGAGAGCACATAACAAAACGTACTTATTCCCAAGAACAAAGATGCTTCTCCTGTGCAGTTCATCAACTTGCTGTTGTTGTACGTGCGCCTCCTGAAAAAGCAAAGGAAAGATCAACATAAAGGAGGAGTCAGGCAGCTTTAAAAAAAACGACTTGTCATTCTACACTAGTACATTAACCTGTTTCTTGTTCAGCTTATTTGCATTTAAGGAACTAACAAAGTTTACAAGCTTACATAGAAGGCACAATAGGTTGCAAACTTTTGCTTTTTAAACCCTTCATGTCATCATTATTTAGGATTTCAGTCCAAGATAAATATGTCTGGTAATCAAGCAGAGCAAGTTTTTCTTTCTTTTTGTGATACGGTTAGCCAAAATTTTCCTTTACATGGCATCCAGTAGATGCTCTACTTCCAGCAAATATCAGACTCCCTTTATCTTCAAAGCATCTTTGATTCCTTTCTTTCAGAATGCACCATATTCTGCACCATGGTGTTGTGATCCAAACTTTCTCGAACTCTTTCCTTGTCGTCACTCCACACTAGCAGGTATTAGCGGAGCTCATTTTTTCTTTTGTACACATATATCTAATTACAAACAATTCCTCGGGACTTGAGGGGAAACATTTATCAGAATCTTAAGATACAATTTGCATAATTACAACAATTTTACTTTTCATTCTTTTTTTTTTTTTTTTGAAACGGAGGGACAAAATCATCCTTTTTATTATTTTAAGCCCAGTATTCAGTTTTGGGTAATGTCAAAATTGTTATTCTCAAAGCTTGGCGAGTACTGTTAAGCATGTAAGTGTATGCAAATCATATTAAAACAATGTCACCCATTTCATTTACTTGCAAATCATATTATTACAAATAAAATCCCTATAGACATACACAGATAAAATATACTAACAATTTAGATATACAAACAATTTATATATATACACATCCTCCATCCATTTTATATGAACACGAGACTGAAGATATTCATTTGATTAATGGATTATATTAGTTATAGTGAAAAAAAGTAATGGCTCGACTAGACGATGTAATGGCTCAACTAGACGATGTTATTGTACACAATAAAGACATCCTTTCGTGAGATAAGGTTACATTAGTCCTAGTTCCAAATGGTAACCGTGCTCATGTGAGCTGACGGACAATGCTCAGTTAAGGTGGTACAAAATACTTAAGATAGTCCAATTTTCAGTTAATATCAACTTTAAGAGGAAATGACATCAACTCACCTTTTCTCTTGCTTCGACCAGAAGTGTTGGCAGTAGGAGTAGGTGTGCCATTATCCACAGGACAAGGAACCTCCTCCATTCCAGAGGTTTGATTACCCAAGCATTGGAGAGTCTCAAATTCACAGTTATTGAAGCCTTGTCCATTTAATACAGTGCCGTCTGAGATTTTAACTTCTGCACCTGGATGGAGGCAATAAACCTGATCATCACATTGTAGGTTGCAAGAGTTCACCACATATGATCCAGGAATGTTAGGATTAACTACGTTCTGATATACATTGCCACTCTTCATCGGCTTCTGGTATGGAAATGATCCAATTTCCCCTTCAATCCTTCCTCGGATGTCGACAAGCAAGCACTTGAGCCTAGCAACCTCAGCTTCCAATACAGCCTGACCCTGCAGCCTCTTGAATAGTTGCTGATTTATAGCCCTCAATCTGATAACCTCATCCTCTAACAAAGCAGCCCGAGCCTTCTTTTTCTCACGATACTTTCGAACGGCTTCCTTATTACCCACAGGTCGTTTCTTTCCTTTCTTCTCTGAAGACTCTGCAGTATCATCACTGGGGTTCTTATCCTCGTCCTCCTCCGAGGGAGGCACAATTTTGGTGTGAACATGGTAACAAGTGTGTGTGTGAGAATTATCAGGGCCAGGCGGGTTGCAAGTGTGGGCGTGAGTGCAGGCATGCGTATCCTTGAGAATCTCATTGAAAAAGCTGTCCATGGAACTACTAAATTCACCAAAATTCGAACTTGATAACATTTCTTGGTTAGAAAATTCCAGCTCTCCATCAGCCATCATAGCAATCCCAAAAGTGGTAGCCAGAAGGGTCACTCACAATCTGCACAAAACACTAGCAATTAAGAGACCCTCTACACAAATTTAATACCTCATTCAAACAGGGGCGGATGTAGAGTTCAGGTTATTGGCTCGAACCATGTATACGTGTTAAAATTTTTACAAAACAAGTACAAATAATATCAAGGTTGTGATAGAACCCCATACTCGAACCTATAAAATTCAAATCCTGGATCCACCTTTGCCTTCAAACTATGAAATCCCGACTACTAGTCTGGGTCAATAAAAGGAAAAAAAACCCAGAAATGAAATGCAACAAAACAAGGCATAAAGTTGAAATCTTTAGCAACAACAGTACAACAGTAGCGTAGTTATAATTTTTGAGGAAAACCCAAATCTTGAATTCGAAATTCTGACAATAATTTAACATCAAAACCTATCACTCTTCACAAAAACAAGAAACACACAAGCCATGTATTCATATGCTTCCAAATCATTAACAAAGCAGTAAAATTGAACTGAATTTAATGAGTTTAAATCATCAAAAATAACTGAAAAGACAAAAAGCACTTACACTGAAGCCGAGTCTGATGCCCTAAAAGATTACATACCTCATTCAACCTAAAAACGCCAACAACTAGTCCACTCAATAATAGGGCAAAACCCCAGAAAGAAAATCCAACAAAACAAGGCACAAAGTTCAAAACTTTACCACAAAAAGTAGCTTAATTATACTTTAAGGGAAAAACCCAAATCTTGAAATCAAAACTCTTACAAAAATTAAACATCAAAACCTATGACTCTTCACAAAACAAGAAGCAAACAAGTTTTACCAAATCATTAATGAAGCAGTAAAATTGAATTGAATTGAAAAAGTTGGTGTCTGCTAAATGAATCCTAACTGACCACTTTACTTCATTAAAAATCATGTAATGTGAAGATTCATACACTGGCTGCCAGCCTATCGCAATCCTTCTAGCAATTAAGAGACCCTCTTTGCAGACTAAAAAATCCCAACCACAAGTCCAGTCAATAATAGGGCAAAACCCCAGAAAGCAAATGCAATCAAACAAGTAGTAAAGCTGAAACCTTTAGCACAAAAAGTAGCATAATTATAATTTTCGAGGAAAACCCAAATCTTGAAATTGAAATTCTGACAAAAAAATCAAAACGTATCTCTCTTCAGAAAACACAAGAAGCACAGAAACCATGTATCCAGATGTTGCCAAATCATTAATAGAGCAGTAAAATTAAATTGAATTTAAGAGTTTAAATGATAAAAAATAACTGAAAAAGACAAAAGAAAGCACTTACAGTGAAGCAGAGTCTGATGAAGAGGAGAGAAAAAGAGAGAAAATGGGGTCACAGGTAATGAAAAAAGAGGAACCCTAGAAAGGGCTAAAAAGGGGGAGTTGAGATGTATTGTCAAATCGTTTAATGGCGGAAGAAAAAGAATGGAGGAAACAGAAGGGGCCACTAATCAATATTCCACACACACATGCTCAACACTTGCTGCTACTGCAAAATTCAGCTCCGTCTGTACCTCTCTGGTAAATCTCATGACTCAATTGTTATTTATACCTATTTGAGGGGCCGATTGTAAATTATGTTTTTACGGAATGAATTAGCGGTGCACAATGAGCAACTTTGTCTTTTACTTAGCCACTTGGCTGTCTCATGTGTTTCACTTTTTTTCTCTTTTCTTTTCACTCCAAAGAAGTGACTCTTCACACAATTAATTTGAATTTTCGCCACATAGAATTTATTAGAGTAATACTATTGAAATTTTGACTGAATAGTTCTATTGAAATCTTGGCTTAATAAATCCATAATTCTATTAAAAGCTTGGCTGAATAATGGTTTACACTACCGCGGTTCAAAATCGAACAGTAACCGTTAATCGAAACATAAAATTAATTTATTGACTTATTGGTATCAGGTTATTGGGGCAATGATTGGTAAACGGATTAAAATTTTATAATTAACGACTTAACAGTTTTGGGGCGGATTACTCAATTTCTTTGTCAGATAAATCGTTAATCCGCTAAAAATTATTATATTTATACTTTTACCCCTATGTATATAAAGTACTACTTGAAACCCTAAATTCATAATTTCTCAATTCAATTCAACACCGGCAGTAGTCGTATCCATCAACAGTTAGCTCTTCAATGTTCAAACATGTATTTGGTCAGACATGAATTGCATGTCACATGGATTTTTCTATGAGATAAGTAGGAGATTTGTTATAGATTTTTCTATGAGATAAGAAGGAGATTTTGTTTGTGCATTAGTTAACTAGCTTGTTTTCCCCCTAAAAAATATTTATTCTTTTAATTGAGTTGTCAATTTTTTTCCATACCGCATACTTATTTTCTCTCCGTTGTACTGAATATTGCATGTCTCATGGATTAGAAAATACTAGTATATGAATACATCTAGACCTAATTTTTTTGTTATCTCTAGTTATATACTTCCTTTTTATTATCTATTTGATTTAACCGATAAATCGTTCGATAATTCCTAATCCAATACCAATTCACTCGATGTCCTATTGGTTAACTAGCGTATTATTATATTTATAAATCAATAACCGATAAGTCGAACCGTTAAGCATAAATATTCATCCGATCTGTCCGATAAGCACCCCTAGTTTACACCAATCCTTTTTCTTTTATGTACTTTCTTTTTACTTTTTTCTTTTCCTGACTTGTATTAGTTATAAATTATCTTGCTTATTTTTTATTCTTTTGCGTGTGATGGTTGCTTGCCATAATAATTTATAGCTTTTTTGATCAATTTTCAAATTATTATTCCACTGGAATGTAAATAAGAAAAACTCAGAGCGAGAGTTGAAATAGCATACGTCCCATGTACCGTGGACTTTGTTCATGATTTTAGGTCATTTTTTTAACCAATATTTAGGTCATCCAAAAATGGAAAATTGTCCATCAAAATTTGTAATCTAGTACTCCCTCCGTCTCATATTAACAGTCGTGGTTACTAAAAATAGTTATCTCAAATTATTTATCATTTTAAAAGTTCAAGACAAAATTAATTTTTTTTTCCTTTTTTATCCTTAGTAAAAATTGTTCTTGAAGATGGAGATAACACGTAAATAGAATAAATATTCAATGAAGAGAGATTATATCTTATGACATAAATAAGGGTACAATAGTTCAATTTTTTTTTTAATTAATATTTCTTAAGGGGCGTGAGAAACACGACACATATCACATAATATGAGACGGAGGAAGTATTTTAGATTGAAGTGGGGTTTTCTTTTTTAAATTAGCCCGTTTTGACACTTGAGATGTTTATCTGTTTCCTCGGGTTTTAAACAGAATATATGACAAAATTGCTCCATCTTTCTCATGTTGTTGGTCTCATGAATTTCTGGTTGAAACGCGCACCAGATTAAAATAAGGCGCATTATAGTTTATGTTTTAATTATTATAATTCATTTATTGACATTTTGTCAAAGAATAATTGGTCAATATTATATTGCCCGTAAATGTGCATCTTCTCCTGCTCTTCACCAACTTAATATATTTTCTAGGTGCTCATCATTGAGATTCTGTGCAGAGTTCGTATAGATTCAAATAAGCTCCGTTGAATTCTTTATGTTTTCGTTGATTCGAAATAATCAAATTATTGTGATAAGACATAGACAATTAAGTAGATTGTCCATTCCTAAGTACTTGTTTATCGGGCTAGGGTAAATATGACTAGACATGCTGATCTCTACATAATAATCTATCAGATTTATTGTTTATTTTTTTTCGGTCGTCATATACACATATTATATATGAATTACACATATATTATATGTTCGCCAGCTATTTTTTTTTAAGCGGTTAGATAAACTATTATACTAGTTAATTATTCTTACTTTTTTGCAGTATACAAAGTAAACTATTATCACTCCTCTATTGCTATTTTCGGTTTCCTTCATTTTGCTCGATCATATGTCCTTCATAAGGCTCAGTTATGAATATTTATGTATTGGTGGAAAAAAGGTATCACACATAGAACCTTATTGAACTGATAAAGCATGATACGTGGAGCAATGGTGAAGTGACAGTTGGCGTATTCCATTAATGAAATTAATGGAGCAAGAAAGATGCGGAGTAAACACCCACGAAACAGTAAAGAACAAATGATCGAGCCTAAACAACTGTTAAAGAGGCACGAGCAGAATAAATCAAGACCAAAAAAAAGGAAAATTCATTGACTAGTAGTAAATAAGGAAAGGGAATCAGAGTCGTTACAAGGCCTTTACAGTTACGAATGCGTCAGTTATGATTATCAACCATAACGAGCAATTGATACCATTAATGCTCATAATGAATTCGTCATAAATAGGGGGAAACGTTATAATTGGATACTCCTATATAAGGATATAGAATCTCACTTGTAAGGACAAGTTCCGAGCACTATTGAAATATACTTACATTTTCTTGCTTCAAAAAGTCTTCTACTTAATTTGAGGGATAGATTATCATTCCATTCCTTATTTCTTTTTTACTAATTCACATTGCTATTTTTATTTCTTTTCAAGCGGATTGTTGAGGAAGTAAGGTATTATTCGGTTATTAGTAGCCTGATTTCTTCTAAATATAGGCTTTGACCAAAGATCCTATTTTTTGGTTAAACAAATTGGTTCTGTTACCAGGAATCTAATAATCTTTTTACTTTTCAAATCCTTCTTTCTCACAACTAAATTATATCAACTGGTAACGACAATAACCAACTAAACCTTCAAGAGAGAACACCACCACATCACTCTCCAACAGAATCCCCTCGCCAGTCCCGAGGAGGATCACTTGAGAGATCCACGTCACACGCTAATGATCAACAAGGTGATGAACAAACCGTAGAACAAGATATTCTAAAGCAGTTGATTGCGGAACACGTGAATAATGCTCTTCAGGCCTTTGTTTGGGGGTTGCCTAACACGCCGCAAACCCCTCCACCAGCCAATACAACGACTTTAGAAAATCCACGCTCGGGGCTCGATAATTCTGGAAGTGGAGGAGTTCCTAATGAATCCCGTGACGGGAGGTCAAGTATACCTAATAACTCAGATTTACAAAGTTTGGTACTAACTTTGCAGAAACAGTTGAAAGAGCAGAACGATCGCATAGAGCAAATACCAGGCGTACCTCCCGTAATAAAAGGTCTGAATATTGATAAGTATTCGCAGCAACCTTGGAAGCCGAGTGCGGCTCCTCTGCCAATTCCTAAAAAGTTCAAAATGCCTGATATTCCAAAATATGATGGGACAACCGACCCACGAGATTTGTAACTGCGTTTACAACTAGCGTAAAGGGTAATGATTTAACCAAGCAGGAAATTGAATTTGTTTTGGTCAAAAAAATTGGAGAGACACTCACGAAAGAGGCATTAATATGGTATTCTCTTTTTCGTGAAAACTCCATTAATTCTTTTGTTGAGCTTGCAGATTCATTCATAAAAGTACATTCGGGAGCTCATAAGGTTGACAAAAGGATGGAAGACATCTTTAAGGTAAAACAAGGAGATACAGAGTTACTCAGGGAATTTGTGGATAGATTTCAACGTGAAAGGATGATGCTACCACAAGTAACTGATAATTGGACAGTTATGGCATTCGCAAGCAATTTAAATGAAAAAAGTTCAGAAGCTACGAGAAGACTTAAGGAAAGTTTGCGAGAATTTCCTGCTACAAAATGGAATGATGTGTACAACAGGTATAACACAAAGTTGCGGATAGAAGAAGATACGATTACACAGTCAAGGGTCGATGAAAGAACAAGTTTGAGACATTCAGAATCTAAAAAAAGGTCCGAAAAAAATAGGTACGAACCTTACATGGGACTTGCGGGACGGGATTCACGGTCTAAACAGGAAAACATATGGTCTAACCCTAGATCAAGGCACAAAGATGCGGGTTCATCATCAAGGTTCAGAAAAGGACGAGATGCGCGAGGCAGTGATTCTGACACAGACGCAAGGATTGGAGATTACAGTTTCAATGTCAGCACTTTCGAGTTGGTAGCTGTTTTAAGAAGTATGGGAGATAAGGTACGGTGGCCTAAAGAAATGAGATCAAACCCGAGCAAAAGAAATTCAGATTTCTGGTATGAGTTTCACAACGATCATGGCCATAAAACAACAGATTGTAGATTATTACAAGGTGAAGTTGAGCATTTATTAAAGCAGGGTTATTTAACTGACTTGTTCAGTGAGAAAGGCAAGCAATCCTATATGAAGAATAGACAAGAGCCTCCAAAACCTCCGTCTCCAAAGAGAACAGTCAATGTGATAAGCGGGGGAGAAGAGGTCAATGGTGTGATATATACAGCTGCAAAAAAGACGTCGAAAGTCACGATTACTCATGGAAAGCGAGTTCGCCATGTTTTGGATGAAGACATTATAACATTTGATGATGCAGATGCGGATGGCTTGTTAATTCCTCACAATGATGCGCTGGTAATATCTTTACTTGTACATGATACTAATGTAAAACAAGTTTTGATTGATCCAAGTAGCTCCATAAATATTATTCTTCTAAGGGTGGTGAATG